GGTGTTGGGAGAGAAATCTAGCGAGATCTGAATAAGATAAAATAAAATTTTTTATTTATGAACAATGTCGATTGTCGTAACATTCGTGATTATACGCTGAACGAAGATGGCGTGATTTTAAAACGATGCCGAGATCCCGATGCGGGACATATAAATATGAAATATATTTTATGGTTTCTTATCGTCGTCTTTGTACCAATCCTCGCTATAAAAATATGAATATTCGTAATTATTTAATTTGTTTTTATTCGTAATCTATTCTAGAATGTGATAATTTTGATATTTCGCGAATTTACGAATTTCTTCCATTTATAAATTAACCGTTATTAAATTATATATACCAGCCGGGAACATTTTCCGGTGCATCGCATCTTTGTTGTTCCTCGTTATAAACGGTCCCATCGCTACAACCTTGTTCTCGTGGTGTTACTCCGTTCAAACAGACGTAAAACTTTTGACAGTCATCTGGATGAGCGAATTTCGGATGATCAACGACCATTCCTCTCGTGTCCACTTGACTTTCTCTTGGACATTCGAAGCCATCTTTCAATTTTTTGTCTACTACTCCGCATCCCTGTCGAAGAAGAAGAAATCGAATTTAATGCGAGTGTATCGTCCGTATTGTTGTTTCGTTAATTTCTGTATTTATATAATTATTAACGATAAGTGATTACTGTTGTGAATAATCATGCGTATAATAAATTCGACGTTTAAAGACGTTCGATTGTCGTTACCACGATTGTAAGTAATGCGAAATTATCATCGAATTGGTTGCGATATTACGGGCTGAAAAAAATAAGTGAAGATAAAACGTATGTGTAAAATAAAAGAAAACTTTTTTACTTCTCGACCAGCGCTGTCGGGCCAAACGCATGTTCCGCTATACTCGTCGAAGTGTAATCCGGTGGTACATGTAATTTCGATAGCTTCGCCATCGATACAATTATAAAAAATATTACAAACGGATGCATCCGGATGAGCGAAAAAACCATTCCTTCGAGGACATTTCTTGGTCGGTTGAGGAGGTTCTGCGAACGTGAAAAGATATAACGGGAATTTAAAGCACTTTCGTTACCTATCGTCATCGTATCCTGTATGTCAAGGACATTAACCGCAAGAGCCAATGACACGCGTAATGTGTAACTTCTACTCGAGTAAAGTCTATTTTATCCCGACGAACGTACAATTTTCGATACTTGATATTCGTATTTGTATTTGTTATAAAAATGTAGAAAATAATCAAAGATTTTTTCTTATTTTTACAACTAATTCTTCTATCTAATTAATTATTCTATATAATTTATCGCTATTCTATGTTACTATCTTTAACGGGTTATTCGAAACGCGTGAAGTGTAAAAATTATATCTAACGATCTTACGCAATTCAAGACGATCTCCGCAATCAACGTTGAATACGTGATCGCATTTGTTTACTTTTCGATTCAAAGGATCGAAAACGAGTCCATCTGGACAAAGTTTCTCCGTGGCGATGCCATCGATGCATTCGTAATATTTGTCGCACTGTTTCGGATCTTCGTATTGACCGTCTTTACTCGGGCAATTGAACGCACCGTCTGTAACACAATTTCACAAACTTGAATAAACTTTCTCTTATATTATTCGTTTTGTAGCGATATAATTTTTTTTAATTTCTTCTTCTTCCTTTACATTCGTTTCTTCTTAAAACTTCTTTGATTTTATCGCATGATTATTGACATTATCGTATAATATGATATTAAAAAAAAAAAATGATAAAAATTTCGATGCAACTCGCTTAAATATTAAAAAAAAATGCAACGAGAGAAGAAAAAATTTTCTTAAGTTTCTCTACGTTGCTTTGTAATTATGTATTTACGCGTAATAACGAAAATCGGAACGCTTCGAGAAACGAATAAATAAGGAACGAATACGTGAGCGAAAAGTATTGTGGTAACGATCGAGCTGATCTAATCGTCTAATCTTTCCATAAATTTCTTATCGGTATTGTTTTATTTATTTATTTTTTTTATATAATTTATCGGTTTTATATACGTACATACATCTTCGCGTATATGTAACCATTTATAGATGCTTATGCAACATCATCGATATAATATAGTAGATTTGACATTTACGCTTTAGAAAGTTTGAATGTTTCTTACACGCTCTCTTCTCGAGCGAAATGAATACATCTGGAATTTACTTACTTACTTGTTAGAGACACGAACGTTTATTTTGCACGCGGAATAAACGATGAATTTTAGATTATATTTAAATAGTTAATAATTAAAACGATGATTATGAATATCGGAAATTCAAAAGTAATTATCTTAGAAGTGTGACAAATTGTTATTCAGAATTGAAGAGAAAGTCTGAGATCTGTTTCGGTGAAATCATTCCTTTCGTTCTCGGTAATTAATGTACGCAGTTTTTACTTTTACTTGAAAAATATATACGATACGATTCTAATAGTTAGTATTTTTTGTTTTTTAAACGGTATTGTTTCTTGCCATATTTATGTATGATAATAATTTTATATTAATATTAATTCATTCGAAAAGGAAATTGATTGTTTTTATGGATATAAATTAAAATAAAAAAAAAATACACGTTTACTTACAAAAATGATATGATAAATGATAGATATTTGAAAAGAAGAAAAAAATCGTGTAATTATAAGGTCTGAATTAATTGATCGAAATTAGATATATCGATTTGAATTACATAATGAAATATTGAATACGATAAATATAAAATTAAAACGATAGATATATGTACGCTTTAACGACGAAAGAAATGATAAAAAGTTCGACAAAAATATTTTTAATTAAAAATATTTTTAATTTATAATTTTAAGACGATTTTTTAAATTTTATTAGTTATTATATCGAGTATTTTATTTTAAACTTTGCGCGAAAGATTATTAAAATATGATACTTACGTGTTACAACAACCACAGCCAATATCGTTACAAAATAATATACGTTAATCATATTTCTCTTCTTCTTTTTTTATAATTTGATAAAAGTGATTCGCGCGATTTACCAAATCGACGATTATTCCAAACACTGGTCACTGAGAAATAGACGGTATATTTTAGTCCTCTTTCGAATTGTGTCTCTTTCGCGAAACACTGCAGCTTCTTAACGACTCGCCATAGTCTATACCTTCTTGATCCCCACTACGTTTCTTCCTTACTTTCGCTTCGTCTTCATAGAATCAAGATTCATCGTCGGAACCACGCGCTTTTACTCTTCTTTCTCTTTTCTTGGTATGTATATTTTACATACCGATCGGTAAAATAACCGCTACGCTATCTATCATTATCGCTGTTTTCATCTTCTTTTCCGTATCTTCTTCCGTATCTCCGTATTATTCTTCTTTTTTGTATTGAAGAATTCAATTTATTGCAATTTTTATAAATGATCGTTAGATTCTTCGAATTTCGAATGTTTCGAATAATGTGAATAATTATGATGCTGTTGATTGTTGTGTTTACGCATACTCGTACTCTTTGATTCTATTTTTCTAAATAATTTACTATAAATTTAATTTGATGTATCAATGAGTAAATAAATAAATATCATTTATCTATTTAATTTATCTATCATTCGTTATGTCATTCGTTTTATAAAATTATTTTTCTTTTTCAATTTATACGCGATCGCTCGTTCTTTCTTAATATTTTTCTTGCCACTTTTGCTCTTATTTCCATTAACGTATCGTATCTTTCATTTTGATCTTCTATCGATTAAACTCGTCATTATTTATATAAAATATTATGATAGATAATACGGTTTTATAAACAATAGTATATTATAAAGTATATTATAAATGTAATTATAAATATATAATTATATAACAATATATAAATAACATATTGAATTGTAAAGTAAGTGATTTATATTAATTGTCGGTTGAAATTATCTTAATCTTCGATCGCAATCTTAAAAGTTTTATGTATGTTCTAATATTATATTATATTATATTTCTTAAAATAATATTTGTATTTATCGAATTTATCGAATCATGATTTCTCGAGAATTAATATCGATATCATTATTATTAAAGCGTGAAATTTCTGTTTGTATTTTCTTTTTTAAAATATAATTTCGCGAAACTCTGATATTGTAAAAATTCCGAAATATGATTTTTGATTTAATATTTTCCTTATATAAAATTTGTCTTATAAATAAAAATAATTCTTTTAATCGATTATTAGAAAAGCGACGAAATCGTATGTTTGATCGATAGAACAAATTTCGGAAATATCCAAAGAATTTTCAAACTTCGATGACTTTCGTTATTCGTGAAAATTTATAAACAATTCGAATCGATTATTCGATTCGAAAATGCATCGATAAGTGCAAATAAGAATAAAAGATTAATCTGTTTATGAAAGATATGAGTATTATTACGAATCTTTGTATGTATGTTATAAAACAACAAGAAATCTAATAAAATACACGCGTATAATGATATTTGTTTACGCATGCATTCAAATATATATTTCCTATCCTAATCTTTACGTGCACTACTATACACGGTTAAGCGGCCAACGTGGCAGCAATATGTTCAAGATGATACGAACATATTTTCAGATAAATTCTCTCGTTTATTGTTATTGATGCGTTATACCGATTAAAAACTTAATTAAATTATAAAATTTAAAATTCTTAATCGCTATTTTCTCTACTTGTTAAAAATCGTCGAATTTGCGATTTATTTACCTCACTGAGAAGAACGAAACGAAGATATATATATATATATATATATATATATATATATATATATATANATATATATATATATATATATATACTAATTTTAAATGTATAGATTTTAGCTTACTACACGTATATTTGTATAAAATGTAATTTGAATGTGGCGCTGAAAAGAAATTTATCTAGGAAATATTCGATTCTTTTATTTGGCTAATATGACATAATATAACTATTTTAATATTTTCTTACCAAAAATTTCTTCGTATACATATGCCAATCTTATAGATGTATGTATACGTTCCTTGATTCATGCGAATGCTATTAAGTTTTTCAAGGTGATTTATAAAAGTTAAAAATAAGTGCATAATTCAAAAAAATGTCAACTATGGATGATGTTCTTGAAAGTTGGGAAGAAATTGAAGAATCAGAGGTAAGTTATTTTTTACGTTATATTTGAGACGATATTCTTTGAAGTTGATTTGATAATGAAATAATTACCTTAACCTCTACTATGGATAATGTTTTTGTTTTGAAGGATTAATTTTAAATTTAATACTTTGATGATTTAATTTTAAATATTATAGTCATGAAATCTGTTTTTTTTTAATTACGTTTATATATAAATTAATTATTATTGAATGAATGTATCCATATGGTCAATGATATTTATTGATAAAACAAAAATATATTATTTGAAAATCCACATTTTGATATATTTAAACTTATATTAATTATAATATATTGATATAATTTTGATATATATACGTATACACGTATATAAAAATAATATGAAATACGAAATACAAGGTATTTTAAAGCTAATATTAAATTACTTAACGTAATGAATAGAAACTATATGTGATTTGATATGAAGAATTTATAACTGTTGAAAAAGTTAAAAATTAGAAATTAAAGTTAAAATTTATATATCTTTCTTCCTATAATCTTGTTCGTTTATATGTAAAAATATACAATTGCCAATAAAAATTATTTTTTTCTAACATTTCTCATATTATGATTAGATAAAAACATTGACATAAATATGAAACTTTAATTATATATTAATTATATATTATTAATTTATAAAAAATATAATTTATAAAAAATATATATAATTATAAAATATATATAATTTATAAAAAAATATAAAAATATTTTAATGATGTATAAGTCAAAAAAATCATTTTTTCTTGTTCTTAATTTTATTCTATAAATATTTTTTAATTAAACGTCCAAAATAATTTTAAAATGATATATTATTTATATTATTAGAAAGAGAAAATAATTTATGTAATGATGCAAAATTCAGAAACGATAAATATAAATAAAATAATTATACAATTTGTATAAAATTTTAAAATTATAGAAAAATTAAATTTATCGTTTAATTTTTATATTTGATAAGACAATGACATTGTTATTCGTTATCCAATAATGGATTACAAAACTTGAATCTTGAATATTTTCTGATAGAAAATAGATTTAAGAAAAAATTTCTAAACATTACGTATAAAATATAAAATTTAATTAATTACTTATCTTGAAGAAATGGAACAAAATTAACGAAATATTATTTATCTATTCTTTATATATCTATTTTTCAAATATATTAAAAGAAATATTAAAATGCACAATTTTATATTATATAAAAACCAATTTGGTTTTTGTATAACTTAACGTAACATGCATAATATGTAGCATGTGTATATAATAGTATAACACATAATATGTGTTCTGTGGTTTATTTATACAACTGCAAGAATAAATATTACAAGAAAACAATTCAACGATAACGATGAAAAATTTTTTTTCAATAATTACAAATGTTCATACATTTATTTATAGATTTTTTCAGCATTGTTAAATCAAATAACATTATTTTACATATAATATTTTAATCTAAATGCAATATTTGTTTGTTTGATTGTTGTGTGTGTGTGTGTGTGTGTGTGTGTGTGTGTGCGTGATTTATGCATATATATATATATATATATATATATATATATATATATACATATGTATTTGTTAATGTTATCATATTATTATAAATTTAAAATTTGATGAGTTTTAGGTGCTCAACAAAAGATTGGATGCTCTTCAGTTAAATGCAGTAGAAGCATTAGAGGAAATAGAATCTTCTAGGTGAGATTAGTTTATTTAATTATTAATTGTAAAATAATTCATATTTTCATTCATAAATTTAAAAAAGAATAAAATGAAATTTTTAAGAATTACTATAATGTATTAAGTATTGGGTTGAATGAAAAGTTATTGAATTATTGAATGAATGGTAGGATATTATGATATTTTATCATATAATTTAATTCAGTTTTTTTTTCTTTTTTTTTTTTTTTTTTTTTTTTTTTGTTGTAAAAATTATTACAAAATGTTAATTAATAAAGTGCATATTTGATTCTTATTCCTTTATAAGTTTCAGAGAATCAATCACAATCTTACAAACAGTAAAGAATGTTTGTGAAATGTATGGAGAATGTCTTATTAAGATTTGAAAATAATAAAATTTTTTCAAAAATATCGATCAAGAGATTTTCATATATGGACCACCATACTCTGAGAGACCAAAAAAGAATGATTTGTCGGTAATATGTTGTAAATCATTATTAAAGAGTTTAATTTCAATATTTTCCAAATATGTATTGTTGAAATCTTCTATTATTTTGCAATAATTGTGAGCTTTATCTTTTGTTATATGAATATATTGGATTATATATAACAAAGAACTTCGTTGAGAAATCTACGCACAATGGAAACCATTTCTTAAGTAAATATTAATTAAATGTAGATAATGAATTTGAAATAAATAACGAATCGGAGAAAAAGAAAATCTTATATCTAACGAAAGATTATAATTTCATAAAATTTACGGGAAATGATATATTACATCGGAAAGGAATCGTATTTTATTAAGATTATGTATATATAAATATGCTATTTATGAAATAAAATAGGAAATTATAAAAAGTATTCCGTATTCATTGAAAATAATATTATCGTTTATTCTGATTGCTTGCAAAATCATTCAAATGAAAAAATATAATGTTTAAATAAAGAAAGAGATAAAAAAATCTGAGATACTGATGAGTTGGAAAAAAATGAGAAAATAATATTATTGATTGAACGATTCATTTTGTATAAAAATAATATAATGATATCTAATAAAGAAAAAAAAAGAGTAAAAACTTTTTACTCAACCCAATATATTAATATGATATATAATTTTATAGATAAATCTGAAAATATTAATATTGTAAAAAGATATTTAAAAAGCGCAATTTTAAGAAATTTACAATTATAATTTATATTAAATATTAAAAATAAATAAATATTAATGGTATAAAAGTATTATTGTAAGAATTATGTCTACATATTTTTCGCATTTTTTTTTTTTATAACCGTAATATCTTATGATTATAATGCCTTAGCTTCAAAACCAGTCACAATTCGAGTACCAGAATGATAATGTTAGGGGAAGATGGTATGAGATCTCAATATGTACCTCCAAAACCGACGGTAAAAATTTTGAAAAGACCTTCGAGAGATTCACAAGGTAGTGGTGATGGACCATTAGTGAATGGAGATAAGCCAAAACATCCTATTAAATCTTTGAAACAGGTATATTTTTAATATTCTGAAATGATATGTGTAAAAAAAGAATTATATAATTATAATTAAAATTATTTATAGAGGGAACAAGAATATGCGGAAGCAAGAAAAAGAATTTTAGGTGAAGAAAAAAGTCCTGAGGAAAAGTTAATGCAAGAAATAAATAAAATTCAACCAAAATCGACGACTCCGAGTAGTAGTGGGTTACCAAGTAACATTCTTCGTATGCCTATTGGACCGGATGGAACACGGGGATTTAATGTACGCAGGTAGCGCGTCTTCCAGGGATCAACTCTTTCCACCCATCCTTTTCCTCCTCTTCCTTCTTCTTAACACAGGGAAGAGAGGCAGCTATGAGGCTGATGGCAGAAAACAAGAATAATATTTCTGACCAAATATAAGCATAGTGCTCCTACCATTTTGAATGGAGCCTAATATAAACTATGCTGCGGAACATTGCTAAACAGACACGATAATATAAAAAGATCAAGACTATAAATTGGCGAAGTTAAGTCATTATAGACGTGGTAATGTTTCTCACTGGTGAAATATTGTCCATTTTGTTAATATATATTATGTTTAACAAAAATTTTTAATTAAAATAATTAAAATCTATAACTATCATACTTTTTCATAATTGCAATATGATATAAATTATTTTATTTTCTATAACTGTATATGTTTTTCAAGTTATTGAAACAAATTGTATAATAAAAAATTTCTCTTTATATCTGTTCGTTATATTTGAATAATTAATTGCTTTCTTATTAATTTTATTTTTCTGCATTTTATGAATAGAGTAAGTGTTATTATATTATAAGCAGAAAAATATGTGATTTTGTAAATACGTATAATTTTTTAATTTTTAAATATATATTTCTATTAAACGGATATTATATTTACATATATATAACGATTATCGATTTAAAATATTTTTCTATCTAATAAAATTGATATTGATATTGATGAATAAATTTATCTTTTAGTAAATCTTATGATAAAATCTTATTAAAAAAAAAAAAGATATCCAACAATTTTAAAAATAATCATTTATTTATTCATAATCATAATTTTAATTAATATTTCTCGATATGCAAATTTTGTGTTGTGTCGTATGTAAAAAATTAATTATCAAAAAATTGTTTTTTTGGTTCATGATTTGTTTTATTATTATATTGTATACATTCGATATATAATTAAAATATTTTAATACATTATAAAAAATAATGAAAAATATTGTTTTATGAAATATATTTATTTTATAAAATGAATGCCTTACATTTTTTATATCGATATACATTTATTATTGAGAATCTAACATTGTGTCGTAAATATGATAAATCGTGTAGTTGGTATACATGAAAGTAACATGGTGGTTAAGAACGCGTGCTAAGTACAAGTTTGTGTAGTTTAACTGGTAATAAAAAAAAAAAAAAAAAAAANAAAAAAAAAAAAAAAAAAAAAAAAAAAAAGTATATTTTTCTCATCTAAAATAACGAAATAAGTTAAATTAAACGACGAAAAATTGTGTCACATATAATTAGTTTAATGTAACGCATTCTTAAAACATGGCAGAATCAATTGGACCGATACTTCATGTGATTGTCGTCGGATTTCATCACAAAAAAGGATGTCAAGTAAATATTATTTACTATTTTAATTAAAAATATTCATTGATTATAATTTTTAAGAGACATTTTACATTATATATTTTTCATAAAAGATATTTGATATATCGTATTATTTAAATTTTATAAATTGAAAAATTTTAACTACAGAACATTTATACAAAAAATAATTTTAATAAATTTAACAGCATTTATATAAATTCTAGTATTTATTTATATAATCATAATTATGATTATATTATTTAACGATATTTCGTTAAATAAAATTAAATATATAATGTATTTTATTTGTAATATTTATGTTATGTATATTTATTATAAATGTTAAATATTTATATATTGATATTAGGTAGAGTACTCGTTTCCTCCTTTGGTACCTGGAGCTCCAAACGAATGTCCATTAGGATGGAAATATTTACCAACTCTTGCTCTGCCAGATGGATCCCATAATTATGATGAAGATACAGTTTATTTTCATTTGCCCAGTCTGAATAATCCAAAATGTACGATATATGGCATTTCATGCTTTAGACAAATTCCTGTTGAGGTAATTAAAATTTTATTTCAATATTAAAAATTTTATTTTCATTGTTTAATAAAGTATTGTAATTTATTTTGTAAACATAAGACATAAAAAAAACATTGTTAATTGTTTTCTTAATTATTCAAATTCAATAGGTTAATGACACTTATAAAATTTTTAATAAGATGAATCTAATGTTATCGTTAAAGATTTGATTTTTATAAATCATAGATTATTATGTCATATTATATTTATTATATATAAATATATAATATATAATATATAAATAACATTATATCATATTATAAAATATATTGAAATTTTCAAAAAATATCTGATTTTTATATATATTAATTTTGTTTAATGATATTATTAATATTAGATATTTTTAATGAAATTAAATTTCAAATTAATTTTGTTAAATAATAAATATAAGTACAAAAATGAATAGTAATAATTATTATAATAAATTGTAATAATATTATAAATAGTAAAAAGAGAGTACTATTAAATAATTATTTTAAATATTAAATATATTTAAGAAGATATGATATTAAATAAGATTAAATTCTATTATTGTAATAAAATCAATAAATATATAATTTTAATTAATATTTTTCAAATTTAATATTATATCTAATGATTTATTTGATAAGATATTCGAGAAGGAGAAAAGATAAATTGTATAATAAAATGATAACTATCAAATATATTTAAAAATATATTCCAAATTTTATGAACATTTTTCTTTTTTTTCTTTTTTTTTTTTAATTTTAGAAAAATTTGTTTCATTTTTTTTTAATTTAATATTAATCAAATATCAAAATTAATTGTATAAAATATTTATAAAGATTTTATTTTGAGAACAAATTTTACTTACATTTGAAAAATGAATACATTTTTATACGAGAAAAAATTTTTTTTCTATTTAAATAAATTTCTATATAAAAAAATTGAAGGAAGAAACGGAATATAATCCTATATATATACTATAATTTTTGAAGTGAAACAAATTGATTATCTGCGATAAAATAATAACTTTTATATCTCGAAATAATAATTTCTAAATTTGATCATGAGTTTTATGAAAAAATATATTTTATGATAAAACATTTGTATCCCTTATTTGTAAAAAAAATTTTTTTTTCTTGGAAACTATGCAAATTAAAAATTCATCTTCTATAATCATAGTTTTATGAAAAATATATTATTTAAGTATTTATTAATAAATTATTATTATTATTTAAGTATTTCTGAATAAATGGAGAATATTTATTTATTTTCAGAAATTAAAAAATCGTACATCCGACATAACAAGAGGTACGGTTCAAAAGTCTGTTTGTGTTTTAAGTACTTTACCATTATATGGTCATATTCAAGTAAAAATGGCTTTGATAACGCATGCATATTTTGAAGAAGGTGACTTTAGTAAAGTGTCATTATTAGAAGATACTTATCATCATCTCAATTCTTGTATGAGTTGTGAGAGTCAAATACCACCGCAAATATTTGTTGGTAATTATGAATGTATTTTTAATGCGAACGAAAACTTTGAATAAACATTTTTTATATAAAAGAATTTAATGTTTATAGGATTGTCTGCAAGAGATTTCATATTGCAATTTCGTCACAAAGTTCTTTTATTATTTAAACTACTTTTGTTAGAAAAAAGAATAGTTTTTTATCAGTCACCTGTTCAACCATTATGCGCTGCAATATTAACATTACTTTCATTGTATCCTGGTATGATAGAACACGGTTTGCAGCAAGCTGCTTGTGTTAGGTATTATATATTTTAAAAAAATATATTTTTTATAATTATATTATTTTTATCACTTATAATTTATTTTTTTTTTCTTCTTTTTTTTTTTTTTTTTTTTTTTTTTTTTTTTTTTTTTTTTCTTTTTTTTTTTAAGAACATCTAGACCTATGTCTCCTATTCCTACATTTGATGAAGAAGAGATATCGGTAAATACTATCGATAATAATTTATCTTCTACAAATTGTATCAAAGATGGTATATCTGATAGAGTAATGGTACATATTAATGGTAATTCTGATAGAAATTCATTATGTATAAATGATAATAAAGCTATTGAAACTATGGAAGGTAAATGCATGGATGAATTAAAAAATGTAACAGTACAAAAGAATAATAATGAAAATGAAAATTTAAATATGAAAGTCATTGAAGTTAATTCAGCACAAGAATGTACCAATGTGGAAGAAAATAATCCTGTATATTCTTCAAAATCGAATGATAATATGCATAGAGTGCAAAGTATACATACGATTACATTAAGTACAACAGATACTGATAATACATTACCACGTGATACAAGTAACGACGCACTTTCTGATGCACGTTTAACAAATAATATTACCCAAATTGCACATATAAATCCTGAATTATGTGGTTTACCTTTAAATATATTTACAAAGGTATGAAAATTAATAATATTATCAATATATAATATATATTAAATTATTAATTAATCACTTATATTTTTAAGGGATATTTATGTTTACCATACTTATCTTTACCATATCTGGATCTTTTGGCAGATATTAATGTTAGAGGATACATAGTAGGTGCAACGAATGTTTTATTTAAACAGAAAAAACAACTTATTGATGTATTAATAGAGGTAAGATTCGAATAGAATAAAAAAAAATGAAATAAAAATATTTGAACAAGAAATATTATACTAATGATAACTTGTTTTATAAAAAGGTTGAAAATACGCGAATAGAAACAAGTGATCCAGAATTAAGAAGACAATTGCATCTTACAACTGAAGATCTAAGATTTGCTGATTATATAGTAAGGCATGTCTCGGAGCCACGCAAAGATATTTTTTTGGATGGTGTAGGATGGGAAGGCGGAGATGAATGGATTAGAACTCAATTTCGGGTTTACTTATTGAGCATGTTAAGAACATCGATGCAACAAGATAGTAGGCAATCTGATCATTATAATTCTGCATTTATAGCTGCTTGGCGTTTAACGAATAATTATAAGATATGGAATAGTTCTAATAAACCAGAAATTAGTAATATAGAACCAGGTCATCCATTTGCTGGACAACTATCTGTTCAAGATATGAAATTACGATTATCGCAGTAAGTATTTAATAATCTCGATAATAAAAAAATAGAGAATGAATGTGTAAAAAAAAAAAGAAACACATTCCTTCTAGTACAATGCAAAACACAGAAAGTGGTAGAAAATTGAATCAAGCAATGGCATCGACTGGACGAGCGGTTGCGACAACTGGAAAAGCAGTTGGTAAGTTTAATATTTATATACATATGTTACTTAGATACATAATTAAATTTCAAAATATGTATTTTTACATTTATTGGGAATAAACGATATTCCGAAATTTCAAAGCTTCAATTATTTATATAATGTACATGATATATATAAAATGCATATATATAAAATGGATTGCATAAATAAG